TGGAAAAAGAAGAAAAAAAATTGAAAAAGATTTGAAAAATAAATTGTTTTATTAATGAAAATGCCTTTGAGTAGGCTAGAGTACAAGATGCAATTCCTAAAAAGAGGAAATTACAAAAAGTTTAAACAAAATTGAAAATGGTCATGAAAATGATAATTCATACTGTTATTTTTCCAATGTCCTTTGATAACTCAAATCTTCTTTCTTTTTAGAAAGATGATTTAGATTAATCCTTCCCCTTAGTCATAGTCATATTAATGAATTCTCGAACCGCAGTCTATTTGTTCATTTTTTGAAAAAAATCCCTAACTTTTTCCTGGATCGCCCTTTCAGGCTTTCAATCCACCGGGATGATGATTTTGTTTATATGTCCCTAATTTTTGACTAGATCTCCCTTTAGGGTTTTCAATTCACCGGGATGCTCATTTTTTCCTAAGTCGCCTATTTAGGTTTTCGACTTAGTGGGCATTTTATACGTAGTATTTTGTAACTATGTTAGAGTTCATAGGATGTGGTAGTTCTTCCCCATCTATTATTGTGAGGATAAGAGCTCATCCTGAGAATATTGTTTTAACCATGTATGGACCTTCGTAGTTAGGTGTCCATTTACTACGAGAATCTAGACGAGGTAGCACAAAATTCTTGAGGACTATATCTCCTTCTTGAGGTACAAAATATGGTTTACTCAAGCCCGATAAAGTCGAGCTTTTACACCTCCTCTCTTCTATACTTTGAAGCTTCAAAACTTGTCAAGTAAGTCAATCGTATAGAAAATTGCTAGAATATTTTTGGAGATGAGGCTTGAGATTTCTTCAAGTTAAGTACCATCATTAGAGGACGTTTACAGTGATCATCAACCCTAATTAATTTGTTGCATCTTTAACCACTTGTCGTACTTAAATCCTCAAAGGTTGTTATGAAAGTTGTCATACAAGTTGTCATTGAAGTTGTCATCATCAAAATTGTGTTATAAATATCATGCTTCGATCACTTATTTAAATATCATGCAAAACATGGTTCTAAATAGAAAAGTTTAGTCTTAATAGAAGTGCATGAGGGCATGTGTGGAAGCCACATTGGAAGAAGAGCTTTGGTGAACTAGTGTGGTAAGTGCCAAATATTTTAAATTTTTATCCATGCATCGATCAAGATATTGAATTTACTTACTTCACGATAGGCTTTCTACCAGAGGGGTAGAAGTTCTAGAACTATTCTTATTATTCCATGGTATACTCAAATTTCTACTAGTGGCGATAAACTACTTCACCAAGTGGATGGAGATAGAAGCAGTGAAAAATATAGAAACAGGGAGAGTGCAACAGTTCTAATAGAGGAATATAATATAGAGGTTTGGTTTACCCATGAATATCGCTGCTGGCAACAAGACACACATTGCTAGATCTTGTGTGGTCTACATCTATCAGCAATTGGGAATCTAGATGAGAATCATTTCGGTGGAGCATCCCATACTAATGGTCATGCAATATCGACCAACAAGATTGTTAGAAATATTATTTATTATTGTTTTATTTATTATTTATGCTTTGGTCAGAGTTGTCCTAGTTTATAGGAAGTTTAGTTGGAGTCAGTATACATGGGATATATGCAACCAAATTAATAGGACTTAGTGGTAAGTTCCAGATTAATAGGACTTATTGGTTAGCCTAATTTTTATGTTATTTTTAAGCAGTACCTTGTTTAGATATTATTAAGTGGAAAAAAATAGCAGTTTTCTTCTACTTTTACGGGTATGTTTTCTTTCTAACATTAACAGTGGTATCAGAGCTCGGTTAATTTAGAAAAAGAATCTGAGTGAAACAGTGAGATTTAGGCGAAAACATCAATTGATCGATGGCATCTTCCAATGAGAATTTTGTGCAAACTGCAATTCCTCATTTTGATGGTCATTATGACCATTGGAGTATATTAATGGAGAACTTCTTGAGATACAAAGAATATTGGCAAGTTGTTGAATCCGGACTTACAGAACCTATGAAGGGAGCAGTTCAAACAGATGCGCAGAAGGCAGAACTGGAGGCATTGAAACTCAAGGATCTTAAAACCAATAAGTACTTGTTTCAGGCCATAGATCGAGCAACTTTGGAGACGATTCTCAACAAAGAAACCTCCAAACAGATTTGGGACTCAATAAAGAAGAAATTTCAAGGGAATGCTGGGGGAAGACGAGTGCAGCTTCAAGCCCTACAGAGTGAATTTGAGACTCTACGCATGAAGTCAGATGAGTTTGTCATAGATTTCTTTGGAAGAACAATGATCATTGCCAACAAAATGAGAATTTATGGAGACAAGATGGAGGATGTGACCATTATTGAGAAGATTCTTAGATCAATGACAGCAAAGTACAATTTTATTGTATGCTCCATTGGAGAATCCAAAGATATTGATTCATTCACGATTGATGAATTCCAAAGTTCCTTGCTGGTTCATGAGAATAAAATCAGCAACCAAAACAAAGAGGAGCAAGCACTTAAAGCCTCGAATTATTCAAATACCTCTAATTTATGAGGAGGCCGAGGCAGGGGCATAGGAAGAGGTTGAGGTGGTTACGGTAGAGGCGATAATGGTCGTAGAAACAATCATAGAAACAATCCTGGCAACCACCAGAATTTAGACAACTCAGGAAGAGGAAGAGGTCGAGGTGGCTACCGTGGAGGTAATCATTCAAACAATTATCGTCCAAAATCTAATGTTGAGTGCTATTGGTGTCACAAATATGGTCATTATCAGAATGAATTTAGAACTAACTTGAATGGCCAAAACTGGGAAAGGACCAACTTTGCAGAAAGAGAAGAAGAGAAATCTCTATTGATGGTGTGCAATGTGATCGAGGAAATTCTAGATAATTTGTGGTATTTGGATATGGGCTGCAGCAATCACATGTACGGTGATAAGACAATATTTTCAGATTTGGGTGAGTCTTTTATGAGCACCGTCAAGTTTGGCGACAACTCAAAAATTAATGTTGCTGGAAGGGGCAATATTATTTTCAAGGCCAAGGGAAATAAAAGTCACAAGATATTTGATGTCTTCATTGTGCCATAATTGAAGACCAACTTGATTAGCCTAACACAAATTCAAGAAAAAGGGTACGCGATTCTGATCAAGAATGGTGTTTGTCGGGTTCAAGACGAAGAATTAGGGTTGATTGCTCAAGTTAAAATGACGGATAATCGGTTGTTTTCGTTAAATATGCATAGATCCACCGGTTCTTGTTTGTCAGCAAAGATTCAAGACTCAACATGATTATGGCATTTTTGCTATGGTCATCTAAATTTTGGAGGATTGAAAACGCTGCAGCAGAAAAATATGGTGACAGGTCTTCCGGAAATCGCACCTCTAACTCAGATTTGTGAAGATTGTGCTGTCAGCAAGCAGCACCAAGACTCTTTTCCATGTGGAAAATCCATCAGAGCCAAGAAAGTGTTGGAGGTGGTTCATTCAGACATTTTTGGCCCTCTAAATCCAATCTCGAATGGAGGCAAACGGTACTTCATTACCTTCATTAACGATTATAGTAAGAAGACATGGGTGTATTTTTTGAAAGAAAAATCTGAAGCATTTGATGTTTTCAAGAAATTTAAAGTGTCTGTTGAAAAGGAAAGCGGCTGCGTGATTACAGTTTTGCGTATAGATCATGGTGGAGAGTATACGTCGCATGAATTCGCAAAGTTTTACGAGAATCATGGAATTCAAAGGCAGATTACAGCAGCATATTCACCTTAGCAAAATGGTGTTTGCAAGCGGAAAAATCGCACTATTATGAACATGGTCCAAAGTTTGCTAAACAAAAGTGGAATCTCTAAAACTTTTAGGCCCGAAGAAGTGAATTGGAGCATTCACATTTTGAATAGAAGTCTGACCTTTTTTGTTCTAAACATGACTCTTGAGGAGGCATGGAGTGGAACCAAACTAGTTGTGAATCACTTCAGAATTTTTGGGTGTATTGCCTATGCTCATGTACCAGATCAGAGAAGAACAAAACTTGAAGACAAAGGGGTGAAGTGTATTTTTCTTGGTGTTAGTGATCAGTCAAAAGCATATAAGCTTTATAATCCTAGCACTAGGAAGATTATAATTAGTCGTGATGTGATATTTGATGAACAAAATTTTGGACAGAGAATAAGAGTGTTGTTGTGCATCAAAAGAAACTAATGGATTTTGATGAAATTCAAGATGAGCAGCAAGAAAATTCAAGTGTGCAACACCGGTCCACAGTGCAACAGCAGCCCGCAGAACCAACAGCTGATAGTTCTGTGCAGATTCTTGGCTCACCAGCAACATCAACTTCAGAAAATCGTCCTCAGCGTAATAAAAGAAGGCCTGGTTGGATGATTGATTATGAGGTGACTAGAGTAAATTAATCAGAAGGTTAACTAACACACTTTGCATTTTTTACAGATTGTGATCCCATGGTTTTTGAAGAATCTATTAAGGAACCAAAGTGGAAAAAAGTAATGGATGAAGAAATTGCTTCTATTGAGAAGAACAACACTTGGGAGTTGGTTGATCTTCCACAAGGGGAAAAGACAATTGGTGTGAAATGGGTGTATAAGACAAAATTCAAGGAAGATGGAGAAGTTAACAAGCACAAGGCACGACTCGTCGCTATAGGTTACAAGCAAGAATTTGGGGTGGACCATACGGAAGTATTTTCTCTGGTTGAAAGACATGATACAATTAGAATGGTGGTTGATGTAGCTGCACAAAATTCATGGCCCATTTTCCAATTGGATGTAAAATCAACATTTTTACATGGTGATTTGAAGGAGCAGGTGTTCATTGATCAACCTCCTGGATACATGAAGTTTGGATGTGAGCACAAAGACTATAGATTAAAGATGGCTTTGTATGGATTAAAACAAGCGCCACGTGCTTGGTACAATAGAATTGAAGCTTACTTCCTGAAGGAAGGGTTTGAGAAATGTCCTTTTGAACACACACTTTTTGTGAAAAGTGGGTAAGGAGGCAAATTGTTGATCATGTGCTTGTATGTGGATGATTTGATATATACATGGAACAATTTCGGCATGTTTGAAAGGTTCAAGCAATCTATGATGTTGGAATTTGATATGGCTGATTTAGGGAAGATGCATTATTTTCTTTGCATAAAAGTAGTGCAGTCAAAAGCTGGCATATTAATATCACAAAAGAAGTATGTGCAAGAGATTCTGAACAAATTTCAGATGTCCAATTGCAATCGTGCTGCCATACCTACTGAAGTAGGCTTAAAACTTGTTCGAAATTCAGATGAAAAGAAGGTTGACAGTCACCTTTACAAGCAAATTGTGGGGAGTCTGATGTATTTAACAGGAACGAGGCCTGATATAATGCATGTTGTATGTTTGATCAGCAGGTATATGGAAAATCCTAAAGAGAGTCATCTATTGGTTGCAAAGAGAATTCTTAGGTACTTGCGAGGTACTACTATAAATTTTCTACAAGAAGGGAAAAAATTCAGATCTGATTGACTATACAAATAATGATTATGTTAGAGATATTGATGACAGAAAGAGTACTTCCCACAATGTCTTTATGTTGAGTTCTGGAGCCATCTCATGGTCATCAAAGAAATAAGAGATAGTCACTCTATCAACTACCGAAGCAGAATATGTTGCTGCAACAGCATGTTCTTGTCAAGCAATTTGGCTTAGGAGAATTCTTGAAAGGCTGAATTTTGTGCAGGAAAGGGAAGTTGATGCTACTGCAATTTACTGCGACGACAGTTCAGCTATCAAACTGTCCAATAGTCCTGTTTTACATGGAAGAAGCAAGCACATAGACATGAAATTTCACTTTATCCGGAATCTCATAAAGGATGGAGTGATTGAACTTCACTACTGCAGAAGTGAAGACTAAATTGCCGATATAATGACAAAGCCATTGAAGGTGGCTGCATTTTAGAAGCTCCGAGCATTGTTGGGCGTGTGTGATAAACTTAATGTCTGAAGACTTTCAAGTTAAGGGAGGCTGTTATAAATATTATTTATTACTGTTTTATTTATTATTTATGCTTTGGTCAGAGTTGTCCTAGTTTATAGGAAGTTTAGTTCCAATCAATATACATGGCCTATATGCAGCCAAATTAATAGGACTTAGTGGTAAGTTCTAGATTAATAGGATTTAGTGATTAGCCTAATTTTTAAGTTGTTTTTAAACAGTACCTTGTTTAGATATTATTAAATGGAATAAAATAGCAGTTTTCCTCTATTTATACAGGTATATTTTCTTTCTAACATTAACAAAGATTGTATACTCCTGGATGAAATTGTTTCTTTAAAAGCTAAGTTATCTATATATCTAGCTTTACCAAATGATGCTTTCTTACCTTTAACTATTCAAGTAATTTCTTATTTAATGAATTTGTTATGACAATTATGAATTTCGGTTTGGTATATAATTTTTAAATAGATTGAAGATTCATTTTATCTTTCAATTTTTTAATAGTCTTGTGTGTTATTTAATTAAGTTAGTTCAGATAATTGCTTGCTATATATAGTTTTGTTTTAGGGATCTAACGTCATTTTCACTATTACCATTGGACATATGTACAAAAAAAAAAATCAACATGAAGAGTTAATCATTTATTGACCTTTCAAGAATTACTTTGATAAGGTTGATGGACTCACGGTTTATACATACAAGAGAACAAGAACTGCTGCAGAAAGTGGTGACCAGTTGCAGAAAATAATAGAGTGAGATTTTTTTTTTTCTGTCTATTATCTAATTATGAAAATCTGATTGATTGCTCTCACCATTAATATCTCTTTTTTTATTCCAAATGATTATGCTGAAAGAGCTTTCCAGTATTAATGTAAGAAGTTCAATTACTACCCCAACAATAAAGAGAGAGGATGCAGAATATGGAGGGAAAATATGAGAGAAAATAAGAGATGAAGAATATATGTTAGAGGAAAAAGAGGAATAAATAAGATACACAACAGCTAGGATTGTATGCATGGACACACTAAATAAGCCATCTGGTGTATATAACAAATAACTAAATAGGCCTTGAAATATATAAGGGACTAGTAGTATAAACAGTTTTAATAAGTACTTCTACCAACAAAATTATAAAGACAACACTTTACAATGACTTATGAAAGTAAACTTTCCCTTAATCTCAAAAACAGATCTTAATCTTCTACTTTTACACAATGAATCAGACATACAAAATGGATTATGCCTCCTTCAACCTTCAGAGTTTTTAATGCCCTTTTTTAATTTCAACTGCTTTAGATGTATGATGATGGGCTTTGACATATCATCAGCGTCAATCCTTAAACATGTAGGACAGCGCCACTCTTTGGCAGGAGCAGACGTCAAGTGAAATAAAAAAGATCAGCAAGTATAGCTTAAGGTTGAGTAAAGAAATAGTAAAATATACTCACTATGCCAAAAAAGAGAAAAGACAGTGTTGTTTTGGCATAGACAGCGTTTAAAAGCACTGTCTATATCAGTGCTGATGTAGGTGAAGACAGTATTTTTTTTTTAATACAAAAGCATTATTTTATGTCCCTTTAGGCAGCACTTCATTCTACAAGCGCTCTCTATTGTCCTCTTTAGTCAACGCTTTCAGCTTTCTACTGTTCTCCTTTAGACAGTGTTTTTTAAGCGTTGTCTAATGTATCTTTTAGTTCTTTTTTAGGTAACAATTTTTATAAAAGCGCTTTCTATTCTCCACTATAGGCAGCGCTTTTTATTCTCCAATATAGGCAATGTTTTTTTAACAAAGCGCTTTCTATTCTCCACTATAGGCAGCGCTTTATTTAAAGAAAACGTTGTCTAATATCTTCATAGGAAGCGCTTTTTTGTTAAAAGTGATGTCTATTTTGCACAATTTTTTTAATAAAATGGAAGCATATTTTAAGTGTTGTCTTTCAATAAGCACACAGATTTTATATTCCAATAAATTGATACAACTTGAAAATTCATATATATATATATATATATATATATATATATATATATATATATATATATATATATATATATATATATATAAAGCAAATAGTTTTTTTTGTATATTCCAAATCTGCATATTACTAAAATACATACAACAAATAGTATTTGATATATATTACAAATTTTCATATTACCACTCTAGCTAAAAAACAATGAACTTGTTTTTGGCACATATCAACAACTTTTAGTAAGTTGTTATCTCTATCTTATAGATTTGCACCTATCTAAAACAAAACCAACAAATTAAAAGACATCAGAAGTAAGCTATATAACACATAAATCTTATAATAATTATAATTTAACATAAACCTTATAACTATTATAATTTAACACAAACCAATGTTACATCTAAAAATCAAGAATCCGTTATAATCTACCATTAGAAATTCACAAATTCATATTGTTGTACCCGTATTTTTTCCCCTAAGATTCCTTCATCATATCATATCAATTCAATCACAACAAAGTCACACACTAGGGTTTATTTCTTCTCCCTATCTTTTGTCTTTCTCTATGTAGAATCACCAAGCACCTTGAATTGTATTTGCATCCTATTTGTTGATGATGTAGGTGAAAGCACAATGCATTCCATCAAAGTCAGCTTTTGAATTCATGAGTTCCTTCTTTGTACCTTCCTCAACAAAGCTTCATTGAGATTCAAACCTCTATGAAAGATACCTTGGAGTAACATCATGACAAAGTCTTTCATGATTCATTATGCCTCAAGTTGTCAAATTTAGCTCAAAAGTACAAGGGTTGGCTAAAGAAGTTTGACTCAATTGGACAAGTCTTTGATTTTAATGATCACAAGTGCATATCTCCTTCGATTCTCAAGATTTGGAAATGGTTTTGGTTGCAATGTTTTCTTGTTAACATCCTCAACAACTTATAATCACATGACAAAAGTATTTGTGCAAGAAGGTTGATCAAAATTGCAAAAATTTCTCAAGGCATTTTGTTGCTCTAGGAGTTAGGATTTTGAACTTCAAAGGGGTATATCTTTTGGTATTTTTTATTGATTCCAAAGACATCCTTCTCTTTAAAGGGTTATTAACAAATCACTTCAAAAGTCTTAAGGAAATTTTCTGTATAAGGAACTAGATGATGAAGAAAGATTACAAGTCCTCCAGATGAACCTTCAAATCCCTTAACGTGACTTCAAATGATCATAACTTGATAAATTTTCATCACCTTGAACCCATTATTTTTCCATATTGATCTTGAATGTGTGAAATTCAACCCATCTTCAAAGTACAAAGTGTTAAAATTGATGGAAGATGCCCTAAGGATGCAAAAGATTATAGGTCATTTCATGAATTTTTCCAACTTCAACAAGTCATAACTCTCTCAATTTTTGGAGATTTTGAATGGTTCAAGTCTCAAAATGTCATTCAAGAGATCTACTTAATGACATTTTTTTTGGTCAAGAGCAAATTTCAAGTGGAAGGCCATGTTTGGATACAAAACATTATAAGTCATTTTTGAAGAAAAACTTAGATATTTTCTAGGTATGAAAAGTCAACTTCTTTTTCCCAACTTTGACTCATTGCAACTTTCACCTAAAGCAACCATTTTGTCCAATTCTTTTTCAATTACAAATCTTGTTACCTCATCTTTCTAAAGATTCAAGAATCGGGCCCTAAGACCCCTTGAGTTGAGAATGACATTGATTTGAATTTGGTAACTTGAAATTGAAGTTTCATCACAAGTCAGATTTTGAAATCTTTGTTTTGGCCTCTAATCACATATTTTCCACGTGTTTTTGTTTCTAATCATATTTAGCAACTTCCCAAAGGTGTTTAACATCACGAAACACACGATTTAGCTGAGTTTTGATGCTAAATAAGTCACACTTTGTTCATGTTGCAGACCCACACGATTTTCCTCCAAATTGCATCATTTCACACACTTAAGGATGCCATTCATTCTCCTATAAATAGAGGATCATCCCTCATTCATTTCCCCAAGCTTAGACATCCAAGATCACCCTGCCAAACTCTCTCTTGAATCCAATTTCCAGCTACTTCGAATTTACTTTTGTAGCATCCCTCAATCAATTTTCTTTATCAATTCACCTTCATTGAACTTCCTTGAAACCTATCTTACAATTACCTTCAAGAATCGTGACCTATATTGATTCACAGAAGTCCAATTTCGGAGCTCTGCAACTTAACTTTAATAGGTAGATTCATTCACCAATTTTTTCAAACTTTGACACTATTATGAAGCTCTCATCACCCTGGTTCTAGTTGCAACATTTGTCTTTAACTGGAAGCACGTTTTGACCATGAAATTTAAAATCCCTTTTCAAAACTTCTCTTCCAAATTGCTTGAGCTACAATTTATATAAATTTTTTGCGAAGGTGTGGTTGTCTTCATCTTGATGATCTGAAGCAAATGGTACCAGTCTCGTCATCTAATTTTACAGTTTGAGCGACCTGGTTTAGAGACTGGCTAGAGGTTGAAGATGACCAACATGTCATCCTTCAACCAATGAAACATCGTC